TAACATATTTGGTCCGCCTGGCTCTATAAGAAAAGGTCCACCCTCAGCCTTTTATACAAATTGTATGCATGTGGTTCGTTCGATATTGATTAAAAAACTATTCTTTTTAAAATTAATTAAGGATATATAGTCGTATTAATAGCTAGTGTTTCCTCCAAGAAAATGTAGTAAACAATAAGTAAGAAATTGAAATTAATACATGTACATAAATAAAGGAATGTATAGATTTATTGATCGGGTTTCCTGTCGGGAAGATGGGACATGATCGGGAAGATGGGGCATGCTTCTTTTGTCGTTTAAATTAATATACTAATGTCAACATTATCATTAAAAAATCTATTAAGAATACAAATGAACATACATTTACCTTCACCGCCTTGTTTACTGGCAGATTTAAAATCAGTATTGAATGAACAGATAAATGTTCGTAAGTCCAACACGAATCCTTTAGTTACAGTCTCTTTCCTATTAACATGATAAACATTTGACTAATCCACTCACAAAAACTAAAGTTCACATCTTTCAAAATATATATCTTTATAGTATTAAGAAAAGAAATCTGTCAGTCTTAACGTTTAATATTGTTGTAAATAACTGGAGGGTCACTAGCTGTGACAGGGGCGTATGTCACGGTGTACATGTATTACCCTACACCCCTAATTGTAAAAACAACATGCTTACGGATTGGGCAGTTGGGGGTTAGCCTAATTCGTTTGAGAAAACCTAAAGTACCATGTTTCTTACCTATTCAAAGGCTAATTTTTTATATCTACTAGATCTCTGCATTTCATTTTCTGAATTTAACATTGCATTTTCCGACAATTTTTGTTATTTTTTTTCGGAATCCGACAATTTTATTTTCATTTCCGATGTAATCTATTTCTTTTTTTCACATTTTCGGATTTTTTTAGGATACCTTTACGGCAATTTAAGTTTACCATATATATATATAACAAAGATGGAAATAGAATTTTAACAGGGTAGTGTATATATGCATTGTATAGTATTATCTATTTCAAATCACGTTTTTTCTAATCATTACATACACTCTGTAAACAATATTAAGACTGGTTAATAAGTATGGAAACAGTTACATATAAATGAAACTTCACATTCACAATACATTTACCTACATCTGTTCCAGGGCAAAATCAATTAAGTTTCTTTGACAGCTAAGAGCAAAGTCTTTTATTTGAATAAATTATCTAAAATATTTTATTTTTATAACGGATGTATGACTTCTTTTTTCATTGACGAAAAAGTACTGACATGAATTTGACAAATGTGAAAACTTTTAAAATGTAAAAACTTAAAAATGTCGGAAATGAAAAGACCAGAAAATTCCGGAAATGAAATGCAGCCTACTAAATATTACTCCGGGACAAGGTAAATGTGCATTAATTGGCGAAATCAAACCAAATTAAGTCGATAAATTGCTGGATTTATAAATGCCTTTATTTTTCATATTTAATATACATGTTGCTCATATAAAATCTCTGTGCACGTACATTTATGATATATTATATATACTTATGTCTCTCAGTTTCAATAAAATCCGAACATTTTATACCCCCTCCTAAATGTTTTATTATTATTATTTTTTTTTTGGGGGGGGGGGGGGGGGGGGGGTAATGGAGTGTAGTAAAATCACACAGATACCTGTCAAAAAAGTTTCAAGTTTTAAAGTATACCGATATTGTACATATAAAGAGCTTGAGTTTAAAGACACAATTTCAGAAAAGAACGAATGCACTTATGAGCCCTGGTAAAATGTGAAATAATAAACAAAGTTAGCAAATTTTTCATCTCAAATCATTAATTGATCAATCATTAAATGATATCTAAACCATACGATTCAACAATTTTTTACGATGAAATTCACGAAATATAAAGAACAAAACCATACACTGTGGTAGGGGTCAGCCGACTTTTGTGATTTTCTATTAATAGTAAATCGAGATGCAATAAAGAGGGCGGACCTTTTCTAATAACTGCGTTTTAAGGTCCGCCCTAGCTGTCCCTTTCTTTAGATTTCGAGCTACGAAAATAAACCCTGTCCAAAAATTTCCCTTTATAACATAAAAAATATCTGAAATACAGAGGGCGGACCTTTTCTGATAACTGCGTTTTAAGGTCCGCCCTGTCTATTTTTCTAGTTTTCAAGCTACGAAAATAAACCCTGTCTAAAAATTTCCCTTTATAACATAAAAATATCTGAAATACAGAGGGCGGACCTTTTCTGATAACTGCGTTTTAAGGTCCGCCCTGTCTATTTTTCTAGTTTTCAAGCTTCGAAAATAAACCCTGTCCAAAAACTTCTCTTTATGACATGAATATATCTGAAATACAGAGGGCGGACCTTTTCTGATAACTGCGTTTTAAGGTCACCCTGTCTCTTTAGTTTTTTAAGCTACGATAAAAAACCTGTCCAACATTTTTGTAACATAAACATATCTGAAATACAGAGGGCGGACCTTTTCTGATAACTGCGTTTTAAGGTCCGCCCTGTCTATTTTTCTAGTTTTCAAGCTACGAAAATAAACCCTGTCCAAAAATTTCCCTTTATAACATAAAAATATCTGAAATACAGAGGGCGGACCTTTTCTGATAACTGCGTTTTAAGGTCCGCCCTGTCTCTTTAGTTTTTTAAGCTACGAAAATAAACCTGTCCAAAAATTTCATTTTACAACTTAAAAATATCTGAAATACAAAGGGCGGACCTTTTCTGATAACTGCGTTTTAAGGTCCGCCCTGTCTCTTTCTCTAGTTTTTTAAGCTACGAAAATAAACCTGTCCAAAAATTTCACTTTATGACATGAAGATGTATGAAATACAGAGGGCGGACCTTAAATTATACTGTGTTTAAAAACTTTAAAGTCATATAAGGCGTTTTTTTTTTATAAGTTCAGACAGAAAATATGAAAAAAATCTTTCTATTTGTTTTGGTACTTTATATATCACTGAAAAGATAGGACCGCTGCATTTCATTTCCGGAAATCGTCATGGAATTTCCGCCATTTCTTTATTTCATTTCCGACAATTTGTCTTTTCTTTCCGACATTTATTTCGTTTCATTTCCGGAATTTTTGCAAGGTACCTCTCCGGCATTTAATGTTTACCAGGTACATGTATGTAGAAATGGAATTTTGAAAGAATTTATTATACCCGGTACACAATACTCTTGATATAAAAGTTCTGTAAACATGTATATACATCTGTACATGAAGCACTAAGTCTAGTTAACAGAGTTTAATGAGCATGCAATTTTTTCATCGCATTTAATGTTCACTAAATTAAATGTCAAAAACTGCGCCGAACATTGATTTACTAAACAGTCTATAATTTATTCTTAAAAATTTTTCATTACCGGAAAGCACTTCCTGAAAAATGAGGATGACAACTTTAGAATGTCGGTAATGAAAGCTTTAAAAAATGTCGGAAATAAAAAATTTTAAATTTAAAATTTAAAAAAAAAAAAAAATCCAAAATGGAATGCAGACTGAAACATTTAATGAAAATCAAACAATTTAAATCAATCGCGTTTCATAGATATCCGAGAATTAAAACAATGGCCTATTCTTATCGACTTGGAATTTAAATATCAGACACAGTTTTAATTCAATTAGTTTGAATTTAACTAATAGAAACGTGGGGATATTTAAGTTCAATATCGGTGAATATTTTAAACATCAAATCTCATGTAAATCTACGCTTAATCTTGTTTTTTAAATTTTTAGCTCAGATACGTCATATTTATCTTTAAATATTCAAATATTAAAGATTATACATGACATTGTATGGTTATAATTATCATAAATGTCGCAGTTTTGAAGTGTACGCCTGAATATTCCTTGGCATAATTTATTATTAAAAAAATCAGATCTATTTATATGTAAATCTACATGTAACACATGACCATTAGGTTCACCGACCATTCAGTGACAGCGCCATCTGCCGCGGGCTCTACCTGTGGGTACCTGTCAGGTAAACAAATACGTCACACATCCATTGTTTTATTAGCTATACACACCGACAGATTTCACACCTTTAATCGCACTAATTTACAAAAAGCAAATTCTAAGGAAAAACAAACACTTGCAAAATAATTGTGGCATGATTTTTAAAGAAATCATGGCCCTAAATGGCACTGCTTAAAGCACACTATACGAGTAGATTCTTGTCTAGAGATACATGTATGTTGTGCAAAAAATAAAGCACATCAGGGTTAATCCTTCTTTCATCATATAGTATAAACAAAATAGCCTTAATTTCATATGATAAAGTCAAGATTAAAACAATTTGCACCACCCGGACCTTAAAACGCAGGGGGACCTTTTCTTATACGGGCCGGACCTTTTCTTATAAAAGGCGGACCAAATATGTTATCGTATTAGGTCCGGCCGGACCTTTAAACGAGGCGGACCAAATATTATGCGACACCGGTCATCATGTGCTCTTTGTACAATCGGGAAATAATGTATATAATGAATCAAAAATAAAGCAACTGCAAGAAATTTATCTATTGATAAAAATATATGGATGTTCCATTGTCATTTTATAGTTCTTCAAACATTTCTTTTAAGTTCATATCATTAAAAATAAAATTTATTGAATATTTTTCATCTGTTAAAACTTATTATAAGACTTAAATAAATCAATTATTAAAGCCAACATTATTTATCATTTATCAGAGACTCACATTGTTGTCCAGCTGTGTAAGACCTTTTGTTGGAAAGGGTCCATGAATTGTATAAGTAAATTGCTAATGTAGTCTCAATCTGCACAGCAAACAAAAATGGTGTAATTCAGGACAACAGCAAAAGGGACGCTCTTAAATACCACTTAAATTTGCAAGATGTGTTATTTATATACACATATAAAAAAAAAAATAGAACAATGAAACATGAATATACACTGTAACCTTTCGCATCAAACGTAAAATAATCAGTTGTTAGGATTAAATAACAAGGAAATATTACAAAGCTAGACCATGAGTTCTTCTTTAGTAGTGGTAGCACTTATTTTTGTATCATCCCTTTGGTCCACAAACGCACAACGACTACATGATTAGGATTGTGGCCGAGTGTAGACCAGGAGTTGACTTTTTATAGAAATTGGAAGACTTGCGCAATCTTATGCTGGAACAACGTAATGAATTTATAAGAGATAACCAAGAGCTTAAAAATCGATTAACTTTTCTTAAGACGATATGGAACGAAAGAAAAGGTAGGTACAAATGGCTTGTTACTAATACAATATAGTCGTACAATTCGTCAATTGCCTTTTATGAATTTTTTTTTTCTTATTTCAGTTTCCTCAGGGAAAACACAAAGTCTTGGTCAGAAAACACAATGTCCTTTTTATGCGTATTATTCCGCCGATTTCAAGTCTTTACCGAAAGGTCAAAGATTCATCTATGATACTGTTATTACAAATATTGGAAATGGATATAATGAAAGTACTGGAGCATTCATCGCCCCAACTTTCAGTGTCTTTGCCTTTTCTTGGACATTGCATGCAGCCGGTAGACACCTTTTCGGGGAATCTGGACAATATGGCGAGATGGGAGCACTTTTAGAAAAAAATGGTATTATAAAAGGCTCCATCGCTGCAGATACAGAGATGAAAAGTAATCAAGGTACTGCTACCGGATTTGTGATTTTGAATCTGACAGCTGGAGATGAAGTAAAGATTCTTTCTAAGTATGATGGTCAAGGGTCCATGTACAGTAACGATGTATATGGCCGAACAACATTTTCTGGATTCGTGATTAATCCATAGTTCCAAGAGTTCCGAATCACTACTGAAATGTTTATGGAAATAATATGACTAAGAACTTACCTGCCGATATGCGCACAACCGTTTTTATTTTATTTTTGATTAATTCTATATTTAATGCACAATCTGTTATATCATTATACATGGTCAAGTAGTTTCTCATTTGAAACTGATCAGAAAATATATTTTTTACTTCAAATATAAAATCCTGGTATTTTTATGAAATCCCGAATACTTTAAAAGATATATCCTCAACCAATTTTACATCCGAATCTTAAACGACACATATCTACACAGAAGTCTTACATATAATGCAAATACTAGTACATGTATATCGCTCATATCATAAAATAAGAATTTATACATGTTCCTTATAGTTTTTCTCTTTTTTTACGCATCTGATGCTGTATTTGGTTTAAAATAAAAGGAAATCCCAACATGCTTACATTGTAGCATGTTTTGTCGTGCATTGAACTCTCTCATGTCCCAACTTTTTCCTTACAAAGTGTTTCATGTGCAGTACAATATGTACGTACGTTCATTATCGTCAAGATTTTTTTATATTTGAATAAACTTACCAGAATTTTAACAAGGGAATACAATATACGAGGAGACATTAATTTGTGTATCGAAGGATTCGGGTTCTTAGTGTACGAGTACCTGCAAACATTACTCCAGCATGCTAGAGGTTCACGACGAGATTCTTTTGACTTGAAGCGTAAGGATGTACTTGAAGGAGTACTGCATACAAATACTAATTAATAACCACAATTTTTCCATAAAGGGCCTACGTCAAAATATGCATGTACTATTATGTATTAAAGTGCTCTTATGAAGGCTGTTCAAGTAAAAATGTCCTCGGTGCTAGCAAAGAAACACAAAAATGCTTTTCAATGATTTTGGTTTTAATGATTTCACTTAAATATTATATCTTAATTAAAATTTATTCCCGAAACATAATAATCTAATTTCTGATTGTATTAGAACACATGTTAGAGCATGGCCCTTCCTTACTGGAATATAACATATCCTATGATTTCCTGGACTTGTTTCATCTTTCTTACAGGTGTTTTTCAAGTTTGGAAAATCAAACAAGTCAAAGGATGAAAGATCCTGCAAATTTTGTTGTTGTGACAAAACAATAACGTTCTATTTATCCTCAAACTCTTTTATTCGTTCGGGCATGTGGGTTTGGACGATGTCATGAAGAAATTTAATGTAGTTAGTTCCTGTATTTGGGTCCTTAATTTCCTCTTTATTTATATAATTTAATTTATAAACCTTTCGATTTTTGTCATAAATTTTGCTTTCTAGACTCCACTAGAAATTGACCTACCTCCCCAAATAAAAATTTGAACAAGATCACTTATATTTAGGAAAATTGCACATAAAACTTTCTTTGTAGTCTTGCAAATCTTTGCTCTTCTCAGGCCTTTCCTGTTTTTGTCAAGTGTATCTCATTGTTAATTTGTTTTGAGGATTTAAGGTAATTAATTCAAGTTTCATTATCTGTTTTAATTTCAGTCAAAGGTAGAAAGCTACAATTTTTGATTTTTTAAATAATTGTTTAGATATTCTTACAAACTGTCGTTTACACTCTTCTTTCAAAACATAGGTTTGATATTGAGTACCAATTTTTATGTTTACTAGTAAATGTTTCTTTAAGACATTGTGAACTACCCAAAAAATATATATATATTACATTTGCTATTTGTTATAAAGTCAATCAAACATAATCAGTAATAACTTGTGGAATTTTGGCAAACAGAACATTGGTTGTTGTAAGTCTTGTTCCCAAGTCTTGCTGTAATGTCTTGCCGTAAATTTCATATTGTTTCAGTAAATATTTTTTAACAAGTTTACATATATTGCTTCTTCTTATTTGTTTTTCATTTTTGATTCTATCACCCACCTAAGAGCAATTTTTCTGACAGGTCAACCAACAGTTTGGTGTTTTAATTAATACCCCTGCGACTCTCCAAGCTTTGTGGCAACGCACTTTGAAAAAATTACGCACTTTGAAAAAATTTTTCAAAGTGCGTTAAAATTGGGACAAAATCAACGCACTTTGAAAAAAAATTTCAAAGTGCGTTAAATTTGGGACCAACTCAACGCACTTTGAAAAAAATTTTCAAAGTGCGTTAAGAGTCTACATCAATATATTTTACCACGGAGACACTTAACGCACTTTGAATTAAGCTAAAAAGGGTACGCTGCATTTTCAATGCTTAAACGATGTATATACCTTTCCAAAATAAGTGGGGGGCTTAGCCCCCCATCCCCTCCCCTGGTCCTTCGCCCAGTCTCGATGTCTATGATGTACTCAAAGCATTCATATAATTATGTATTTACCTAACTGGTATGACGTTGAAAACTTTCAATAATAAATGAGTTAATAAAAACAGATGAAAACAAGAAATTTTTAAGTACAGTAAAACGTATAAGAGAGAAAGAATTTTCATAGTTTTGAACAATCAAATTGCCCCCTTTTATTATGATATTAAACTGCTAAGTTGCTTGAAGCTGTCCTCTGTTAGTGCCCCCTATACACCTTTACATCTACTTATGAAAGACTAGAATAAAAAAAGAATTAATGATCTTAAACAATGGTCACTCTTCAAGACCCATTTCCCTTTTATTGTATCCAGGGACGTAGCAACCGGGGGGGGGGGGGGGGGGGGGGGGCTGGCCCCCCGCTTTTTCCCCAACATTACCTTTACTATAGTAAATGTTTATTGAAAGGGTGGTTGCCCCCCCCCCCCCACTTCATACCATAGTATAGTGATGTGAAGGATTGTAGGGAAAAAATTGGAAGTGATAGTAAGTTGGCTTCGAAAAAGTTGCCCCCCCCCCACGAAATAGAATTTTCGAGTTTGAGCAACATTTAATTTTCGTTTTTTTTTTTTTTTTTTCTTGCTTGTCAACTTTTTCAGTTAAGTAAAAAAAAATTTCTCTGATTGCCCCCCCACCCCACTTTCAAAAACGATGCTACGTGCCTGGTATCAAAACCTCAAATATTTAAAACGTCAATATCTCAGGTCCTACAGTGACTTTTTCATAAAACAGTTATCAAACCAGGATCTGTTATTTATCATACCGATTATTTGAAGAAATATTGATCAATCTTTACATTTTTTTCAAAGTGCGTTAATATGGTGGATATTAACGCACTTTGAAAAAAAATTATTTTTTTCAAAGTGCGTTAGCTTGGTCCCAAACTTTAACGCACTTTGAAAAATTTTTTCAAAGTGCGTAATTTTTCAAAGTGCGTTGTAACAAAGCTTTCTGCTTAGTGACGGTGTGATGTTATGTTTTACTGTGTGACCATGCTCCTTGTTTTGATAGTGAAAATCTGTCGACAATTCAGTTTGTAAAAATGGTCTTAAGATAAGTATGAAAAATGCTATTCTGTATTTGACTTTTGCAAATTGTATTTGCTGACATCGTCGTTGTATCGACCATACAACCAACGAAATGATGACTTTAAATGAAACTGTTTATGTATTCTTGTGTCATATACTTGTTTGTCAAAAACTAACTTTGTTTTGAAATTGTTTATGCAATATGCCCTGTTACAACGCGAAATGTAATAACAACGCCAAATGTAATAAACCTGGATTATTACATTTTGCGTTATTACATTTTGCGTCGAGATCAACGCAAAATGTAATAACGCGAAATGTAATAACACGACTTTTAGATTATTACATTTAGCATCGAGATCAACGCAAAATGTAATAACGTGCTTTTTCGTTGTTACATTTTGCGTTATTTTATTTTTGCACTGAAGACAACGCAAAATGTAATACAACAATATGTAATAAAACAAAATATAATTTTTTTTGATTGCGTTTAACAAAAAGGATCATAAAATTGATTCAAAATATACATATAACCAACATGGGAAAAACGCTGTACAAAATATTTAGAACTAAAACAATGAGAACAACGCTAGGCCTTTTACGGACATAAATACATCAAAATGTATCGTTTTTCTGACTCTAACTTTAGTAATATTGAATACACTATGCTAAATTATAAAGCTTTAATTTAACTTAATTGGTATATTATTGATAGTCTTATTAAATTTCTAACCAATAACACAATTTATTTAATTACCAAAGAGTTGACCATAAGTTCATTATTAGCTCTTGATATGCATGTTTTGCATGTGTACATCGGTTAACAAAGAAATGTATGTGTGTGTCAAGCGAGGAAGGGCAGGGATAGGGTGGAGTGTTTACTAAGCATATCTATCATTGTATTACGAAACAGCCAAATTTATATTGGATAAAGAGAGAGAGAGGTGGTGTTTTTGCTTGTCTGCAATGCAGGTGATTTGCATAGATCAGAATGGTATCACAATGGTCAATAAACCCATCAGATATATATTTACACCTGCCAGTACAAATAAATAGGTTTTCTTTTAGATTCATTGCATTTTCTATTTAAAAAAAGTAAAAGTACACTGCTACTCACGCGCGTTTCTAATTTGCAACAACTATAATTTGAATACAATAATTAAACTGATTTTAAACACATGTAGCTTATTTTATCAATATATTATGAAATTCATTAATTGTAGGAAATTACATATATCTGTCTTTTCCTTTTGTTTAATATCCTCTTCATCGGCTACTACTCTATTAATAATTGTACTCAATCTGCCTGACCAAAGAGTGTGTTATTACATTTTGCGTTCTTGCTGTTTGCTTAATCTCGACTTATAATGTAACAACGCAAAATGTAATAATCCAAAAATCATGTTATTACATTTTGCGTTATTACATATTGCGTTGATCTCGACGCAAAATGTAATAACGCGAAATGTAATAATCCTAAAAAATGTCTTGTTACATTTTGCGTTATTACATTCTGCGTTGATTTCGACGCAAAATGTAATAACGCAAAATGTATTACATTTCGCGTTGTTATTACATTTCGCGTTGTAACAATGCCCTTAGCTTGTGTATCGAATCAATTGAGGGACATAAAATCACATTGCACCCCAAAGGATTTATTCTGCATAAGCAGGGGAAGCAGACAATTGAAAAGTTGAAAAGCCATTACGTTTACCATAAATCTTTGTTGTTTGGTTACTATTAACTTTTTTTTTAAAGAAAATCG